GGAGAGCTATAAAAGGAAGTAAGCAGGGGTCTGTGATAGAGAATATCAGGGAGCTCTGAGTGGTACAGTGTGCTCAGGAAGGACTTTTTTTTTATTTCAGGATATTATGAGGGCACAAACATTTTGGTTACATTTTATATCATTGCCTCTCCCTAGCAGGGGTTAGAGGTATGCCCTTCCCCCCCACAATGCACACCATGTCCTATAGTTGTGAGTTTATCACTCCCCCAACAATAAGGAGCTGTCCTTTGAGAAAGAGGAGGAACCAGCTTTGCAAAGAACCAAGAGGGGCATTCCTGACAGGTCACACAGCAAATGCAGAGAGGCACAGAGGCAGAAAGATCCTGGTGAAATCCAGTGATGGAAAAGAGAGGAAGCCCATGGAACAGCAGCTCAGAGAGGAGGAGGAGGAAGATGCACACCCAAGGAGGGACACGGAGCAGTGAGAAGGGGACAACCAGATGGCCAGTGGACCAACCCTGGCAGGAAGACAGTGACAGATGGTTCTGCTATTTTACATAGCTCTAATTTATAGAAGCTATACGAGAGTGGCTATGGATCTTTACAAGCTTCTCCAGGTAAATTTTCAGGGCTCTTATAGGAAATCCAGAAACATCATTAGAGATGAAAAATACAGTTGCTGACAATCTGATTGAGACATAATATAGTGATGAGAGTAGAAAAAGTATACAATCAATATGAGCAGATCATATGTTTTTGTAATTTGGGGGAAATTATTTCATTCAGTAAAAAAACTTTTTAAGGATCAACACTAAAATGCCTGCTTCGGAGTAAGTTGGAAAAATAAAAATAGGGGATTAGAATTGAAAGTACCTCACTATAGTTTATAGCTAACTGGAATCCTTTCTTGGTGAATATTCAAATATCTTTTCCTGTAATCTAATATATTATTACCATATACAGTGCCTTAATGATAATATCAATTTCCCATTTACATGACTAGTTTCCACTCCTTATCTCTTACCTCTCTCAGCGTTGGGTTTTTTCCTTATGATTACGTAATATAAAGATAAAAGCTCAAAATCGAGTAACCTAGCAATGTGCACAAAGATCATATTTTTATAAATGTTGTCTATTGTTCCTTTGGCAAGGAGGAGGAATCTACTGTGAATAGAAACGGATTTTCATATGCTTTATCTAGGGGCAGTAAAGGGCAACCTTTCTCCCTCATTGACATTCTCTCTGTGTTTTCAGTCACCAAAATTAATTACAATATGGCAAATTCTAAGCTAGTATCGTAATAATTTTGCTACCTAGCAACTTGGAGTGATTGTGAGGTAATCTAAAAATGAAAGCACAATATAATTTGGAAGTTTTCTATGTACCCAATTACACAGAGTTCAGAGGGGTATATTTGTTTTTCCTTATTTATTTTAATTCTGATTTATAAAGTTTTATTGTTTAAAAATTCTATTATTTGGTTTTTAGATATGCATTGATTTCTTAGAAAGTTTAAGTTAATTCCAATTAGTTATCTTTTTATGTTATCTTTTTATGTTCCCTTTATGAAAAAGCAAAAAATGACAAAACATCTCAACTCCTTTGGGTTTAGGGTTAACACTGTACTAGAAAATAGAAGGCTGGAGTCCTTGTCCTGAATCTGTTATCAGTTAGGTGAGTGACAAGACAGTATGGCTCTCCCTTTTTCACTCAACCATCCACACTGCTAGTATACCCTGATTAACATGATAATAAAGGAAATCAAACACTCCAGTAGCTGAAAGAGTAAATGCCCTTCCTGAATTCCTTTAATAGAAGTTATCCTAGCATACCATATCTGGCACATGGCAGATACTCAGCAAATAAAAGTTTATCTGAAAAAATTTTAGTTTTCACTTATCTTTACATCTCTCAGGCTGGGAGAATGACAAGGGCTTCAGAGTCTAGTCCTTCAATACTGATATCAGAATGCAACATATTCTTAGCAAAAAGAACTTCACCCCTGAATTCTTGACAAAGCTTAGACTCAGAAGTTTATCAGATGACAATTTTAACACTAAAATGCCAAAAAAAAGGAAAGGAAACGGAAGGGGAGGGGAGGGGAGGGGAGGGGAGGTAGATGTCCAAAGAGGCAAAACAGCAAAGAAAGAAAAGTAGGAAGGAAGGGAGGCAGAGAGGGAGGGAGGGAGAAAGGAAGGACCAAAAGAAACCTCAAGGACTTTAAGAAGTCGTGAAATGTTTTTTTCTAAGGTATTATTCTGAATAAATAATGAAGGGAGTTAACTTCATAGTAATGAAATCACAAAGCACATAAAAGCTGGCCATATTGGTGAAAATAATTTTACCACCATAAACAAATGGGTGGGGAAAGATATCCCCAAAGTAAAGTGTCAGAATTTCTAGAATAGGAGATGCAGAGAGGATAGGGAAAACACTATTTCTTTCATAATAAAAACCCAGAAAGTTTGACAAAATCTTCTTCCACGGTGAAATGCAAAAGGGAGGAATCATCTCTCCACAGGAAGATCAGAACCTCTAGGAAATAGTAATGGTATAGATTTAGTAAAAATAGGCACAGAAAAGACTGGAAGCCAATATTTGCAAAGCTCAGATCTGACAAAGATCTTATATCACAGAATAAGTAAACAACTCTCAAAACTCAACAGTTAGGAAAGAAACAATCCAATTATAAAATGAGGCTGTGCTGGGTGGCTCACACCTGTAATCCTAGTACTCTAGGAGGCCAAGGAGGGAGGATTGCTTGAGTTCAGGAGTTCAAGGCCACGCCTGAGCAAGAGCAAGACCCTGTCCCTACTAAAAATAGAAAAGTAGCTGGGCGTGATGGCACACACCTTTAGTCCCAGCTACTCAGGAGGATTGCTTGAGCCCAGGAGTTTGAGGTTACAGTGAGCTTTTGATGACATCACTGCATCCTAGCCTGGGCTACAGAGCAAGACTTTGTCTCTGAAAAAAAGAAAAAGAAAAAGGAAAACAGAAAATAAAAGAAAATGGGCATAAGATAGGAACAAGAACAGACATTTCATCAAAGAGGAGATACAAATGGCAAATAAGTACATGAAAAGATGTTCAACATCATTACTCATTAGGGAAATGAGAATTAAAATCACAATGAGATGTCACTATATAACTATTAGAATAGAAAAATAAAGACAGTGATAACACCAACTAGTGATGAGGGTGTGGAGATATTAGACTTCCAATACATTGGTGATAGGAATGTAAAATGTTATGGCCACTCTGGCAAACAGTTTGGCAATTTCTTATAAAACTAAACATACATATTCTATATGACCTAGCAACCACACTCTTGGGCATTTATCCCCAAGAAATAAAAACTTATATCCACATAAAAATGTACGTACAAAATATTCACAACAGATTTTCATAATAGCAAAAACTGAAACCAACCCAAAAGTCCTTCAATAAGTGAATGACTAAAAAACTGTAGTATATCCATACCCTGAAAAAGTAATCAATAAAAAAGAACAAAAACCTGGATGGAGTTCAAGGGCATTATACTCAGTGAAAAAAGTCAGACCCTAAAGGTAATATACTGTATGATTTCATTTATATAAACATTCTTGAAGAGACAAAACTGTAGAGATGGAGAAAAGATTAGTGGTTGCCAAGGTATTAGGGGAATAGAGTGCAAATACAAAAGTGGAGCATGAGAGAGTTCTTTGTGATGGAACAGTTCTGTAACTCGACTGTGGTCATGGCTATTCAATCTACAGATGGGATAAAATTGCATAGTACTACATATACCCATACCCCATACACACACACACACACACACACACACATGAATATAGTTAAAATAAAATGGTGAAAACTGAAAAAGTTTTATAGCCTAATTAACACTATTGTACCAATGTCAATTCCCTGGTTTTGATATTGTACTACAATTATTAATATATAAGATGTCGCCTTGAGGGAAGCTGGGTGAGGGATATAAAGAACTATAAGTACTATTTTTGCAACTTCCTGAGTGCCTATAATTTTTTCAAATTTTTTTGAAGTTTTTTTTTCATTAAATAGGCATAGGTTAAAAAGAATATCTTGCTAACCTGCATCTTACCATAACAGAGAAGGCACATATGTAAGGAGGTAGAAAGGTTGGGAATTGGACTCAAGTAATAACCAAGGTTCTTGCACAGTCAGTACACATCTGTGTGATACTAGCGATTTAGTCTTCTAAATCTCAGTTTTTCTCACTTGTGGAAACGGTAAGCCTGTCCCACAAGCTTTTAAAACCTGGATATGTTAATTCTAGTGAAATTCAGTATATGTTTGGCACATGGTGGATATTAAAAAAAATAATAACAGTTTCCTTGTTTGTTAGGCAATACTACACAACAGTGAACAAACAGGCAGACAGACAGATATAAAACAGGAGATCAAAGACCCACAATAAAGGTCCAAAATGCCAGATCTAAGGGATGCTCCAGCCTCAATGACTACAGAGAGGTCCTGAAGAATGCAGGGCTTCTTTCCCTAGTCAAACAGTAGCACAGGGGTTCTGCTACAGTAACCTTGTGGTAGAAGCTGTTTCTTTCCTACAAAGTTTATTCCCAAATCTTTAAAAACAACTTTTTATTTTAGGATAGTTTTAAATTTACAGACAAACTGTGACAGTAGTACACAGAGTGCCCATATACCCCACATCCAGTTTCCACTATTATTAATATTAATGTCTTACATTATTAAGTTATATCTGTCACAATTAATGAACCAGTATTGATACATTGTTAAAGCCCTACTGGTATTCAGATTTTCTCAGTTTTCCCCCAATGTTCTTTTTCCCTTGCAGGATCCCATCCAGGATCCACATGACATCCAGTCCTCTTGTTTCCTCAGGATCCCCTTGGCTGAGATAGTCTCTCAGACTTTCCCTGTTTTTGGTGACCTTGACAGTTTTGAGAAGGATTAGTCATGTATTCTACAGAATGTCCCTTAATTGAGATTTATCTGGTGTTTCTCTCATGACTGGACTGGGGTTATGGGGGTTTATATCAAGTACTTTAATCATCAACTTTAATTCCAAATTAAACAGAAGTGGTCGTAGTCTGATTTAAACTTCCAGAAACTAGCAAGTGTTTTTCTGTTCACTGTCCTGTTGAGAAATTGCTTTGGCATACCAAACAATTTCTTAAGAACATGATTGCCACCATCAAATGGATCAACTCTAATAGGTGCCAACTACATTGTACACAAAACGGTTCTAAAGTTGACAGTTAAGAGCTTTGTTTTAAGCAGTCTTTGGACTTCTTACTAACTACCTTCTTTTCTTTCAATTGCTAATTCCATTTTGTAGGAGGCTTTGGCAGTCCTTTAAAACTCTTACTGGCATTTGTATCATTTTCCAGACAAAGAATTTGCAGGGTCTTAAAAATGGCATACCTAGGAACCATATTTTTCTATAAAATATTAATAGGAACCAGAAAAAGTACAATAACACATTTGCCTGACAATCTCCAGAAATACAATGATAGAACTCCTAGATTCTGTCACAATAGCAACATTGTGAAATAATGAGTTTTCACAAGAAAGATCAGTAAGATAAGACACAGATTTCCATATATTATAGTATTTAAGTGAACAAATCACATTTGATAGAATTATACTTTGATATTTATCATATTATATTCTAAAATACCACAGAAAGATGATTTATTCACTGAAATAAATATTTGATGCTCAGAAAAATGTAGTAGTACTACATAGTATTTTCTGTATGCTATTCAAAACTGTCCCCATTAAAAAGCATCAATAATTTGGATATGTAAAATAATTCATTATATTGAATCACTGTGACTTCTATATATGCAGTAGGTAGTACTGGCTTTCTACCAACATCCATTCCCATTTTCCCATGTATTTCCTTGATGGCTTAGTAAAATATACATATTCCATTCCCCTGGCCTCAGTTACTGGTTGAGGAAATATGATCTTTATGGTCTAATCAAGGTGAATTTGGAACTCTTGCTGGAGTTCTAGAAGTGCTGGAGCAATAGGGCCACCATGAGGAAAGTCAGCTTTGAGATCAAGTGTCTGATACCCACCCACTTCCCACCTGATTTAAGAAAGAAATGTATGTTCATCCCCAACTCCTAAATTGTTGCCCTAGGAGAGTGGCTGACACGCATTGCTATATGTGCTTCCATAATATGCCAGAATGTTCCTACTGATGTGAGTATGCTATATTTCCTGCCAGTTCCTTGAGTTATAGTCCCATCTCTCTTCTGCCTTTCACCACCAAAATTTATCAAAATGATAGCCTACATTTCCTGTCCCAGTTTCCTCCCCTGCCTCCCATTCCTACAATTCCAACCTAATTGTGCCCTACAACACTCTCCTGGAGTAGGTCTCACTCTTGGCTGCAAAATAAAATCACCTGAAGAGCTTCAAAAACTGATCCCTGGATCCCACCCTCAGAAACTCTGATCGAATTATTCTGGGGTATGGCCAGGGATCAGAAATTTTTATAACTCTGGGAGATTCTAATGGACAAGCAGGCTGAGAACCAGTGGACTGCCAAATAGCTGTGACAAATGACCTCTGAATCACCAAAGTCAAGGATTTTTTCTCAGCTCTCTCTACCTTAAACTGAAATGTTGGGTGGGGAAGTCACCACATAGGAGAAATAATTTTATCTTTTCTCACTAATAATTAGGTAATGCTGGAAAAAGAAAAAGGAGCAGCAAAATCAGTGTGTAGAAAAGAGCACTCGGAATAAAGTAAGTTATGATGATTAAAGTATGAGATTTAAGGGAAAAAATACTGGAAGAGAAAGCATATGTTAGGGAAATAGCAAAGGGAAAAGAATTAGGAGAAATCACTGTATGCAAAATTGGCCAACATACAAATTCCTATCTCCTGTAGAATAGTCTGAATTAGGTCTATACACTAGATTGCAAACCAGCTTATTAAACTCTGATGAAGAAAAGCTCTCAGCCAGGTGCGGTGGCTCATGCTTGTAATCCTAGCACTCCTGGGAGGCCAAGGTGAGAGGATTCATCAAATTTAATTTAAAATATTTTTAAAAGCCCACAGACACTCTACGTTATACTCTAAATAAAAATCATTGTGAAAATTAACAGAGGCCATTTTGGATAATTACAGGACACCAGTCACAGAAGACAAAGGCAGTTTAACCAAAGATGTAAAATCCAGAGCCCGTTACTCCAGGGATTCTCCATAAATGTTTATTGGTAATGATGGAGGGATCAAGATTTTATACTATTCTCGATGCATGCTATTTTTGCAACTTTAAAGTTCTCCCTTTGCGAATATATTTCTCAATAACTCTGCTTTTCATTTACACACAACCACAAGTCACCAATCCAAAGTCTCCTCTAAATAAAGATGGCTAAGCAGATCCCAATTTCTAATGAATCCACTTTAGTTTAGAAAACACACATGACAGGCTGGCTTCCACGGACTTGAAAAGTGGTAACTTTATAGTACATAAAGGAGAAATGATAGCAGTATTCTACATAAGTGCTCACCTCCTAATTGTTAAATAATGCATACATACATAGTGTATATAATGAGGACCCAAATAAGAGCACTTCTATGCTCCATGAGGACAGGTACCACATTCTATTATTCATTATTGCCTCTCTTCTGCTTAGCACATGTAGTAAATATCTGCTGAGCTTATTTACTGATTAATATTGACCAAAATACTACAATACACACATGAAGTGAGAATATACATTTGGCCTCATGATAGTATTTTTCCTACTGAAACTTGCAGATATAATTGACTACGTTCTACAAAATGTAATCAGGAATAGAGAGTATCAGAAAATCGGAAAAGGACCATTTTATGTTTTGATTACTATTGAATATTTTATAGCTCCCAAGGATATTAGATATTAGTTTTCTGTTTCACATTAGTTGGGGTACATTAAAGATAATGATATATTAGAATAAAGATATTCTTCATTTAAGTAAAATCCCTTTTTAAAAAAAAATATAGGCAAACATGGATCCTCTTCTCTGGATTCACAGAAAGTAAGTTATATAAATGAAAAACATAAATGGAGAAGTATAAAAGGGCCACTAAGAACTGAACACAGAGCCCTTATCACACATGAGGACTCCAACATCATTCTTATGACAACATCATTCTTAGTTGTCACGCAGATGGCAACTTGTCAGTGTCTATGTGGGCCAATTACCACGCCCATTCCACAGGAGTCCTCTTCAGACAATCCTCCCTGCTGAGGGAATAGGACAGAGCCTCCCACAAGAGGTTATTCAAAGGAATTGAGGAAAGGGCCCGAGTTACAAGTCAGAAGATACAAGATCTACTGTTCTCTATGTCCTTTCCCACCCAGACATTTCAGGATAGAAAATGTGTGCCACTCCTAACGTACTACTGACATTCTGCATCCATGGAAACATCACTACCTGATCATGGCATCCTTTTCAAAACATGCTCTAGGGAGCACCTACCAAAAGTGACAGGAGTTGGATGGGAAATGAAGCTGTCAGTCCTACATAAGTTATATTGTCTAATTCATGATCTGTTAAAATATCACCACTTTCATAATATAAGCTTGTTTAGGTCAGGATAGAATCAATCCTTGGGGTACTGTCTTTCTTGATATTTTTTACTAGATTTGTACTAATTTCACACTTTTGGGAGGGGCCATATCATAAGTATGATGAGGAAAATATCTCATTTTTGCAAGATTATTGAAGGTTTAATTTAATCAGTGGTTGAAATAAAAATCTGAGGAGGCGTTACATCTTTATTTACATTTCAAAAATATGGACATTGTTGCATATATATACATGTTAGAAGAAAATATTTGCTTACTATATTTCTTCACTAGCCCTTCCAAAACCAAATATTGTCCACATTGATAACATTTATTAGAATGTCTTTACAAAGACAATACCATGATTACCTACCAATTTAAAAACTGTAAAACCAATATAACTTTTGCAGTTTTATGACTATGCAAATATTAGTAGTAAAACTTCTTCTGGCCTTTGTAGAAATAAGACTGATTCCCCCACAGGCCTCTACCCTGAAGAAGGAAGCTAAATTGGGAACTCTGGATACTTAAGTAGAGCCTAAAAAAGAAAAAGTTGACTTTCAGTGTTGTTAGTGGAGAGCTATAAATGAAATTTTAATGATGTTTTACAAACTTAGAAAGATAAATAATGGCAGAAACAAACACAAAAAAATACCATAATTATCAAAATATACAAAGAAAAAGATAAAGAAGATGAAAGGCTCTTTAAATGATATAAATTCTTCACTTTCATGTCAGAAATGGCCAATCATAAAATATAGGGGAAAATATATTATCATGACTATAATCAAGCAGGTAAAAGTATAAGAAATTATTAAAACTTTGTTTCTCTGTGGAACAAAAAAATAATTAAAAGAAAGAAAATTTTTGCTTATTAAGCCAGTCTGTTGCATAAAAAAAAAAAAAAAAAAAAGAAAATTTTTGCTGCTATATATTGCAAGATGCTGGAAGAAAATTATATAAGGACATATTTGCTACTATTCACAGCATAATACTGTAATTAACAAAACTAAAATTTAAAAGTAAATATATCCTACCAAACTTGGTAGAAAAAAGGACTTAGTCTGATTTATAATAGTTTTATAAAGCTGAAATCATTCTTCTATATTAAAAAAGTATGTTCACTTTGATATAACTGAGATTTCATTTTGCTCTTTTGAGACTAAAGAGAAAATGCTCATATTTAATACATTTTAAATTTAGCAGTGTTTATATTTGACAACATTTACATAATATTTCCTATTTCATTGAAGATTATAAGTAGATATAACATGTGGCTGATAAGCCAACCTGATTAGAACTGATCTTATATATTTTGCCTGCTAATACTTTAAAAGAAGCTACTTTGGAGTTCACTTTTATTTATGATTATAATCATATAGCTTAACACTTTGCCACAATAGAAAAAAAAATTTTCCTTGGGGCCTCAGTGTTTTGTTACAAAAATAGAATAAAAGCTTCAAAAACAAAATGATCTTTCCTAATTTAATGAAAAATGTTATTTTTTTATTATTTTCCATGTGCGAGTTATATGCAACTTTAAAAATAGTTCACATGGCTCCCAAAGTAAAGAGACATGTGAGTTACATATGCTTCACCAGGCTCCTGGCTCCAAACTAGCTTGAGTTAAATACAACTCTTGTGGCAGTTAATATGTTAATCAGACTGAAAATAATAGTTTCTTTTAAATTATCATTCTTCAAATGATGTCACCAAATTGACAAATAATCAATACATAATTTAAAGAAAAAAATGTGACAATATCTTCCTTATGTAAATTAAGCATTATAAATTGCCTTTTATGAAATTGACAGCTTCTACACCTGGATACACACATTCCCACATCTGGAAGTTGTATCCACCTGGCTTCACTGCACACCCACCTAAAGCAATACAATCAGAAGGCTACAAAGTTCCTTAATCATCTGGAGGTAACTCCTCAACCATAAATAAGAGAGAGAAGCTGGCCCGAATCAAGAAATTGGTTTCATAATGACAGAATAAATGAGTAATTCAAGAGAGATGGTGATGACAAACAGTGACGGTGATATATTACAATAATATAGTTAAATGTTTTCTGTATGGTGGGCCCCATTCTAAAAGCTTAACATTATTAACTCATTCAAACCTCACAGCAATTCAATGAGTTGGGTACTACTAATAGAAAAACTAAAGATGAAAGGGCTAAAAAATTTGTGTAAGACCACACACCTAGTAAGGGGTCAGCCAGTACTCTGATTCCTACTGGTTCCTTCTAAAAACAAGAAAAAAAACACAGGTTGTGTCATGGAATTCTTTTCTATATCAAAAATTCCAGGCCTACAGAACTGAAAGACATTAATTTGTCGTTGTTTTAAGCCACTAAATTCGTGCTACCTTGTTACAGCAGCAAGAGAAAACCAACACGGGGATCTCCTAATTCTAGTGAAGTCTGCCCCTTAAAGGTGAAGGAGAGAAACTGCAGAGGCCCTAAGTGTGCATGACAGAAGCCCCGTCAGAGAAGAAGGCCACATCTGACCTAAACAGCTCAACAAAGAATGAAAGGAATTAGAATAGGAACCTTTTAAAGAATTAGAGCAAGCCCAGTGAGAATAACTAATGTAAAAGGTGGATAGGGTAAATCTTTTTCATCTATGGAGAAATGCTTCTCTAATTCTAAACTCCACCCTAAGATTCTGCTCTGGAAAATCTGCTTTGAGCCAACTTAGAACATCCAACAACAATCAAAATAAAAGCTACACTGTTGGGTGCTTCTAAATGGTTTCTGCCCTCCATTGCAATCCAAGGTCAGCATAGTCTATGCAGGAAACAAGGAGGCAGTCTACAAAGCCCTGTAACAAAATCTATGCAGGCTGCAGGGAAATAATAGCCACTGTGAGATTAAAACAAATGAGATTAGTTTCCGCTCATGTCTTCCAGTCCTTCTAGGCAAAGAAAACAGAAGTCACAAGACAAAATTTAGTGGTATGAAGCACTTTAGGAACTCTTTGTGGGAAGTACCTTGATTTCATAATTTTCTCCATTAATTAAGAGTAAAGTTAAATAAAGAATGTATGTATGTATGTCATAACAAATTTGATTATATTGTTATCCATCAAATAGTCATATTATATGAACTCAGTGGTTGCTGGGAAGAAAATTTCTGATGTAAAGAAGTATACATTTTTTATTCTTATAAAGAACTGAAATAAAATTCATGCAAAAGAGAACAAAGACTTTGATGCAAAATGGAAAAAAAAAGCAGTTTGAGGTTTCACTGAATATTTTGTCTCATAATGATACAGAACTGGAATTACTTTTTATATACAAACTAAATCATTATGGAAAATCTAAGACAATCAAGTATAACTTAAATTCTTAAGATGATTGGACTGCCAATTAAAAATAATTCATTTAGGTTTGTAAATGTTTTAACATCTGTTTTATGATTTAACTGTCAAACTAAATTATCCTAAACTTGAGACCATACTACCTAATGAAGCATACCAGTTATTTTTACTGTTTTGGAATCTTGAAATTACAGCGTATGAATGAAACTTTAGAAGACACCCCAGTCCAACAACTTGCCTGATGGGACAGGGATCCCTGACACTCATCTTCACTTTTTAAAAAGCTCTAATTGATAGAGCATTTTGCCTTATGGAATCTTCTGCTGACCAGTTAATGCTCTAACTTATGGTGTAAACAAGAATAAAAGAGAAGGAAGTGATCATTTATTCCATGCTTGCCATATGCCAGATATTGTAGTGGGTGTTTTACATACATTTAAAGAATTTACTCTTTACAACTGTGGTTCCCAACCCCTGGGCCGCAGATTAGTACAGTCCGTGGTCTGTTAGGAAATGGGTGGCACAGCAGGAGGTGATCGGCTGGCAAGTGAGCAAAGCTTCATCTGTATTTACAGCTGCTCCCCATCACTCGCATTACTGCCTGAGCTCCGCCTCCTGTCAGATCAGCAGAAGCATTAGATTCTCATAGGAGCATGAACCCTACTGTAAACTGCATGTGCAAGGGATCGAAGTTGCGTGGGATCCTTATGAGAATCTAATGCCTGATGATCTGAGGTGGAGCTGAGGTGGTGATGCTAGCGCTGGGGAGCAGCTGCAAATACTGATTATCATTAGCAGAGAGGTTTGACTGTACAGAGAACATAATAAATCAATTGCTTGCAGTCTCATATCAAAACCCTATCAGTGAGTGGTAAGTGAAAGCTGCATTTGGTGGAAGGCTTTCCGTCAGAATCTGATATTTATTTTAGTCCACACATGGCCTATTATTTTATTTAACACTTCCATCCATGCCTTTTTCCCACACTGCACACTTATGTCAGTCACAATTTTGGTAAGCCCACAAGCTAACCCTAGCAAAAATGAGTAAAAAACAAATGTCATTGGAGAGCTTCTTTGAAAAAGGGGAAAGACCCAATGATGAGACAGCAGAAGACTCTAAAACTACTAACAGGCCGGGTGCAGTGGCTCACGCCTGTAATCCTAGCACTCTGGGAGGCCGAGGCGGGCGGATTGTTCGAGGTCAGGAGTTTGAAACCAGCCTGAGCTGGTTTGAAACCAGCGAGACCCTGTTTGAAGCCAGTGAGACCCTGTCTCTACTATAAATAGAAATAAACTAATATATATAGAAAAAATTAGCCAGGCATCGTGGCGCATGCCTGTAGTCCCAGCTACTCGGGAGGCTGAGGCAGCAGGATTGCTTGAGCCCAGGAGTTTGAGGTTGCTGTGAGCTAGGCTGATGCCACAGCACTCACTCTAGCCTGGGCAACAAAGCGAGACTCTGTCTCCAAAAAATAAATAAATAAATAAAACTGCTAACAAAATGAAAGCTGCATTTAAAAGAAAATGCCAAGAGTCCTACTTAAATTACGGGCTCATTGCAACAGATGATTCATATTCTCCAAGCTCGCTTCATATACTATGTGGTGACCTACTATCCAATGAAACCTTCAAAACGGCTTTGCCACATGGAGACCAAGCACCCTGGAGTTTTTCAAAAGAAAAAAGCGTGAACACAAAGAACAGAAGCAATTATTGAAGGCCACCACTTAATCAAATGTGCCTGCACTGAGAGCATCATTCTTAGTGGCTAACAGCATTGCTAAAGCTAAGAAGCCCTTTACTATTGGTGAAGAGTCGATCCTGCCTGCTGCTAAGGACATTTGCTGTGAACTTTCAGGAGAGGCTGCAGTTCAAAAGGTGGCATGTGTTCCTCTGTCAGTTAGCACCATAACTAGATGAAGTAATGAAATAGTAGAGGACACTGAGGCACAATTGTTAGGACTATGAGTCACCATGGTACACGATTCAGATTGACAAGCCTACTGATGTTGACAACAAGGCAACAATGTTTGTTTTTGTGCAATATATTTTTCAGGAGGATGTGGATGAGGATACGTCGTGTGTGCTTTGTTGCTGACCAACACCACAGCTGCAGAACTATTCAAGTCTTTGAATGATTACATATCAGGAAAATTGAATTGGTCATTTTGTGTCGGTATATGCATGGACAGAGCAGCTGCCATGAATGGACGGCTTTCTGGTTTCACTACTAAGGTCAAGGAGGTCACTACTGAATGTGAGTCCACGCACTGTGTGATCCATAGAGAAGTGCTGGCTAGCTGAAAAATGTCACCTGAACTAAACAGTTTTGCAGGGTGTGATTAAAGTTATCAACCACATTAAAGTACCTGCCTTTACTCATGTCTGTCCACACAGCTCTGTGAGGAGATAAACTCAGAGCACACGCGTATTCCCTTAGACACAGAAGTGAGATGGCTTTCTAAAGATAGATCAGTGGCCAGAGTTTCTGAGTTATGAGAGCCACTGAAGAAATTTCTTTTAGAAAAACAGTCACCACTAGCAGCACGTTGTAGTAACACAGAATGGGACACAAAACTTGCTTACTTGTGTGACATATTCAACCTGCTCAATGAACTCAATCTGTCACTTCAGGGGAAAACAACAACTGTGTTCAAGTCAGGAGATAAAGTGGCTGCATTCAAAGCCAAACTGGAATTATGGGGGAGACAAGTGAACATTGGGATTTTTGGCATGTTTCAAACATTAGCAGAGATTTTGAAAGAGACTGAGCCAGGGCCTTCTTTCTCCCAGCTGGTGCATGATCACTTATCTCAGCTTTCAAAAGAGTTTGAGCATTGCTTCCCAACAACAAAAGATCCTCGAACTGGGAAGGAATGGATCCGCGCCCCATTTGTGAATAAGCCAGGTGAATCGACTTTGTCCGTGCTAGAAGAGGGTCAATTGCTTGAGATCGCAAATTGATGGTGGCCTTAAAAGTATGTTTGAGACAAATTCAAATCTCCATACGTTCTGGATTAAAGTCAAGGAGGAATATCCTGAGATTGCCACAAAAGCACTCAAAAGCCTGTTTCCATTTTTAACATCTTTGTGCAGCAGGGTTCTCTGCAGTGACAGCAACCAAAACGAGATTCTGGAGTAGACTGAACATAAGCAACACACTTCGGTTGCCACTGTCTCCCATCACCCCCAGATGGGATCATCTAGTTGCAGGAAAACAAGCTCAGGGCTCCCACTGATTCTGCATTATGGTGAGTTGTATAATTATTTCATTAAATATTACAATGTAATAATAAGAGAAATAAAGTGTACAATAAATGTAATGTGCTTGAATTATCCTGAAACCATCTTCCCCACCCCCCAACCCCCAACTCCTGCCCGGGACCTGTGGAATAATTGTCATCCAGGAAACCAGTCCCTGTGGCCAAAAAGGTTGGGAACTGTGGCTTTATGTCATCCCAGTGAACTATCAGCCTCATTTTATAGATGACAAAAGCAACAGGCTAAAATACAGGATTCCACTACTTACTCTCTAAAATAACTGAAAGTCACTGCTACACAAAAAGTAAATATTTCAAAGAGTAATATTTCAATAAAATTAATAATGAGGCCATAGAAAGTATGAGACAGAAATAGTAGATAAAATGCATTCTGAATATTATCCAATATTCAAATTTACTGTCAGTAATCTGTACTTTTAGTAGAGGACAAAAATGACCAATAGGTTTATTATAAAGAAATATTTTAAAGCAAATAATAGTAGGTACACAATAAATTGTGTCATTTGGGTAAAATTATGAAAATCATATGTGTATATATGTGAATGGCAAGCAAAGTTAGGAAATAGGAAAATTTACCTGCAGTGTTTTTGTTTTCCTATTTAATCTGAATAGTATTGTTTAACAATGATTAATATAAGACTAAACAGTATAATGTATGATCTGTGATACTTATTTTTTGTCTGATGTATATATAGTAGAAAACATGTCAGAATATACTGTATGTTAAAAATGTTTATTGATATTTTGCTCTTTCATTTCTGCTGAGGCATGAAGTGGTGAGTAAGCAAATTAAATGGTCAGCAATAGAAAAATGTTTAAACTATTCTCATATAATGTAATAACTTACA